TTGCATGCTTCATGTGATCCCAACATCTCATTTTGTCCAATAAGACTCACTTTAAGAACTCCAACCCATGCATGGTGCCATTTACAACCATCAAGATAGCATTTTTATGCTTCTAACATGCCAAAGGGACTCAGATCTAACATTCTCTAACCTCTGGATTTGCCCAAACTCACAAAAGAGGATCCATGGACCAAAAATGAACTCACTACCAAACCCTAACTCAAACTAGTAACAAGATTAGCAAGGTCTGGACTTTTTACCTCCAAAAGCTCTCCAAGAAGATGTGGATGCAGGATCTAGAAGCTCAACCACGTCCAAGGCTTGCACACCAAAATCCTCTTCTTGTAAACTCACTAAAATGGCCACCAAAGACACTTTAAAGCTCAAGGATCACACTCACTAGCAATTTAGGGTTTAAGGGACGATCACAAGCAGTGGAGGCTGATAAGGGTGAGGTCCAAATGCCATAAGTGAGCTTAAATAGGGCTCATGCCCTAAGATTAGGGTTTTTATCTCTGGCCACGTACGCCCCGCGTACACCTTAGTACGCCCAACGTACGTGGTTAAAGTCCACGTCCAAAACACCCATGTACGCTAAGCGTACACATATGTGCGCCCAACGTACGGAGGGGCCTCTCATGCAAAAATAAATTTAACCCAAGGGCTAAAAGGTAACATACCTGAATTCCGAGTGTTACAACGTCGTTCCTGCTCATAGGATACCTTGCAGGACCAATACTCTGGTCGGAACCTGTAGCCACAATCGATGAAAAAAACATCAGTCGCTTCTCGGGAGAGCGGTCTGATGGTCTAGTCAGTGTAGGGGATAATAAATGTGAGTGAGTAATGAATGTGAATGATCGAGAGAGCTCCCCGTCACATGGGTCGTCCATTTTTTATTTATTTATAGGGTTTTGCTTACCTGAGGTGAGGAACAATGTAACGGTAGCCTGAGTATTCGTACCAACCATGAAACATGAGAGTGGAGGGGATAATATGTTGACCCATATCATCTTACTCACCTATACCATATAATATAAGTTACCTAAGAAACCAATGGAACCTGATACAAACCCATTTTCAAAATGTCTTCCTAAAGTTAATGACAACATTAAAAAAAAAAAAAAAAGGGCTTATTGCAAAATGGGGTGTAAGCTTAAAGATATTTATGGCATTAACCTTTTTATAAATAAAAAAATATGATTTCTAACCGAATACAATCGAACGCACTAAATTGGGTCTTAATTTAAATTTCTCAAACTTTGAGGGGGGCTTCATGCCATTTTCTCAGTATCTTCAAAGATAAGAGTCGGAAAATCATCTTATCTATCCTCTTCGACCTTCTCTTCGACCATAACCATGGCTGCCTCTCTTACTTCCTCCCTCTCCTCCACCTTCTCCTCCCTCTCTCTCCGCCGCTTCTCTCTCCTCCCCACTTACCAACAATCCAATTCTCTCTCCCTCCCAAAACCCCTAAATTTCCCCTCCATCAGAGCGCAGTCTACCGATATCGACACCACATACTTCGACAATGTAGACCCAGACGAAATCACGACCTTCGACCCTCCGGAAAAACCGGAGGACTTCATCCCTCCGCCATCTTTCGACGACGGACCTCAGGAGTCTGAAGATGAAATAGCCGCTGCGTACGAAGAATTATATGGACCAGCCTATAGCGGAGTCAGTGTGTTGGGTAATGACGTATATGTGATGGATTCGAAAGTAAAGAAAACAACCTCTTTTGGAAAAATAAAGAAAGATAAAGTCAGAGATGGATTTGATGAGAGGGTGGTTCAGGTGAGTAATTTCTTCCAAAACTAGGGATTCTAACTACATTTTGACTCTTAATGTCAATGAACCAGTTTTCAATTTCAAGATTATACATGAAAAATTTATTTGATGAAATATGATTTCGATTGCTTGTTGTGACTGATACTACAAGTAGATTGGTTGTGTTGTAGAATTTGAAACCAAATTCATATTAATTTTGCGTCGTAGAAGATAGGTTTGACCTCAAATGTCAAAGGGTACAGTTTTTAGGTGAGGGATAGAGAATTACATCGTCAAAGAATTCCTTATATGATCCAAAACTGATATAACATTATCTCCAATTACTGTTTTGAATGTCCAAAACTCGATATACATATCTTTAAATTTTGCTAATGTTGCAGGTGAGGAGAGTGACGAAGGTGGTTAAAGGTGGGAAACAGCTGCACTTTAGGGCGGTGGTGGTGGTCGGTGACAAGAAAGGGCAGGTGGGAGTTGGGGTAGGCAAAGCTAAAGAAGTGGTTGCTGCTGTTCAAAAATCTGCAACCAATGCTCGAAGGAACATAATAACAGTTCCTATGACCAAGTACTTGACCTTTCCTCACAGGTATAAATATAATATATAATTCAGATTTCTCTAATTTTATTATATCATATCAAAATGTTTAATTAGGAAAAACGTCTGAATGATGAAATTCAAATGTTGCTATAATTTGGTTTATTGACTTTTGTTGACCATTGGCAGGGCGGATGGAGATTATGGGGCGGCAAAGGTGATGCTAAGGCCCGCGTCCCCGGGTACTGGAGTGATTGCTGGCGGTGCTGTTAGAATTGTGTTGGAAATGGCGGGTGTTGAGAATGCTTTGGGGAAACAACTCGGGAGTAACAATGCTCTTAATAATGCTAGAGCAACTGTGGTGGCTGTTCAACAAATGAGACAGTTTAGTGAAGTGGCTCGTGATCGTGGGATCCCAATGGAAGAATTGTGGAAATGATTGTGTTTGAATGTGTACAATTTGTGTTCTTTTTTGTTGATGTTGTTTGGAAGGGCATTTTGGGAACTTCATGACTCTTAATGGCTATTTTGTAGATCACTTGCATATCCCAAGTCTTTTCTGTTTATCTTTAGTTTCATTAATAACTTAAAAACGGATATCTTGTGGATTAAAGGAAATGTGTCGAGTAAAAGCAATTGGAAAATGGAATAGAATTCTTTTCTATTACCGAAAGTGCTTTATTTTTCCCTATGAAGGCTTTTGTGCTTTCATGTTTTATTTATTTATTTATTGATAAGTATACCAAATCTGAATTCCATATGTCATTGATGATTATGAGTTGATTCTAATGCTTAGAATGTACTTTAGAACATCATGAGGTTGCTATTTAACTGATGAGTGGTTAAATTCCATCTCCATTGATGGAATTGGGTAATTGTAACACGAATCTCATGATTTGAGTTGTACATTAGCAATATCTAGTTGTACATCAGCTTATTGTCATAACAATTGATACAAATGTAAATTAGTATAAGTAAATGTTCATCCATATGTGGTTTTGGTTATGATTCCATGAAGTTCCATTGTTTTTTGTAATTGGAACTAGTGTTTCCAATGGTAATTTACCATTGGAATTTAATAGAGTAATTTGGAAGGAGAGTATATCATCAAAACATGGTTTATATTACAAATGAAACACGTAATGGAGATCTAAAATGACTTTTGATTGATTAAAGGATGTTTCAAGTCTTAATTGGTTTTGCAATTTCAATGATGGAATGAGTTCAACACGATTATATAGGTGTATTGAGAATCACATGGAATATGGAATGATGGAATCATAACTTAAAAATGAAATTGAGAATCATATGATATATGATTTAGTGAATGTGATCATCATAAGGTCATATGAAGATAGATGAATTATTAACTCATTGAAGTATGTGTATTATGTATGCATGTACGTATTTGTGAAAAGTTAGTAATAGAAGCGCATAGTGGCAACTTTTGTCTTTGCAATTGGCATGTCCTTAATCATCAAAAGAGTCAAGATTCCATCACCACCCTTCTTTTACTTTTCTTTTGACAAGCAATTCTCTTTTTTCTCGCACCATCTATGCCAATCTTTCACAAATCTGATTTTCGATTTTTATTATTAGTAACTAAAATAAGCAGATTCTAGTTATGGTAAAAACAATAACGTATACTTTAATTTATATTTTTATATTTTACAATGTTAGTTTTTGTTTATTTTCTTATGCCTAGTATTTTTAGTTTCAAAAAATCTATGTTGATTTTTATTAATAAATTATAGTTTTCTTAATTGACCTAATTATTACCATTCAAATTGTTTTGTATTTAAACAGGGTGCTGTAAATAAATAGAAATTTTAAAATATATTGTTGCAATATGAATAAGTGAAAGTAGAATGAATAATAAACAAATCAATCAAAATATGTTACTATTTCAATTATTTAGCATTTTATAAATTACCTAACAATATTTAACCAAATGCTTTGTGTCCAACATGTGTACTGGAAACGTCCATCAATTAATATGTTAGAAGTTCAAATCTTGTGCAGAACAAATATTATACATTTAGTAGTAGAATTAGAAGTTTTTGTGATTTATCAAATAGGGATGAACTTTTAATTATCTTATCCACATTAATGTTGGTTTTGCAAACCACAAGAGCTACAAAATTAAAATGTGTAAAAGTATAAGTACTCATACCCACAAAATACCTTATTACTTCATTCCATTTGCCATTTTTTTTATTATATTCTTATAGTCAATCTTTTATAAAGCACGATTTCAAAACCTTAGTCCTTCATAATAATTAACGTATTTTATGCTCAATGCTTCCAACAAATAAACCAAGTAAATTAATTTCCCTCCTTGAAATTGAACCTAGTTTAGGAGAGTGTGGCCTACAGAAGGTCTTAGTTATAACAATTCTTTAACGTGTTAAAAATCATTTTTAAAATACATTTTCAAATACCAGCTAAAACAAGCCATTAGATTTTGTTGTTTTATAATATTTACATTTCAATAAATTATTTTTTAGAACGATATAACATTATTTTTTTAGCATTGAAAACGCCGTCGTCAAAAGTCTACTTTAAAGTAAAGAAAAAAGAAAAGAAATACTCCACAGTAACATCCAACGAAAAATTCTATTGATTAAAAAATCACTACATTCATAATTAACCAAAAAATAAAATAACAACTCATGGTTCACGAAGAGCTTGAAGAGCCGGAAAATCTTGGTGAAGTCACGGGGAACAAAGGCAAAAGCTGAGGTTCCGATTCCCTCCTCGGAGTAGTCGCCGGCGACGGATGTAAGTAAAATCCTTTCTCTGCAATCGCCTTTTCTTCAGCCTCAACGTCCAAATTTGGGGAACATTCATTCGCCGGAGACCTATTAAACGGATCGGAAAGAAGAGGTGTGACTGGACTAAGCACCAACGACGGAAAATCAAGAAGACTTGGGGACATAATCTCCGGCGCGTTGGGATTCCGTGGGGATCCGGAGGACCCTCCGCCGTTTGTGAATCCAGGAGCCAACGGACTGATTTTGAAGTTTTTCAGACTGCTCCGCCGCTCATACAGCTTCGATGGTTTTTTGTTCGGACCCGTTTTCATGGCAGGGATCGGGTTTCTCGCAGCTAAGTCTGGCCTGGTGGTGGCTGTGGATTGTTTGACTGTTTCAGATGATCCGGTTAGCATTTGAACTACCTTTTTTGAAGGATGTTGTGTCGGCTTGGACGAAGGTTGTTGGGTACGGGTTGTTTGGATTGGAGATCGTAACGGGGGTTGTCGGCGGTGATGGGTGGTTGATGGTGGTGGTGGAGCCGGAGGTGGAAGCAAGGTAGTTCTCCATTTTAAGAATCTAGCGATAGATAGAGAGGTATAGAGGTAGATAAAAGTGTTTTGAATAAAAAACTGGTATTTTATACTTTGTAGGGATTCATAGATAAATGAGTTGTAGGTGGGTCCTAATGGATCAATTCCTCAAAACATGTGAGGAACTCACGCGCACATTAGAAACGTGTGTGCTACGTGTCACATGGTTACGGACGATTGCAAGTAAAGTCTTTAGCCTTGTATGGTGGTGTAACACACGCGGTATTGGAAAGAGTGGTTGTGGTGAGGAGAAAAGGGCACTCGTGACAAGGCGATTGGTTAATTACAACTATGTTAGATTAGATGTGAAGTGTGACTGGAATTTGGAACCAAGTTTAAGCCAAAGTCCAACAAGGTTGTAGCTTCCCGTTGACTTTCCTTTCCCATTTGATTAGTTTTATATTTAGACAAAACTGTAAAATTGGTGTATTCACAAGACTTTGATAGGATCTAAAAAATTTTCAATTTGTATGGATGGTACAAAATCAAAATTTTCTTTTTGTTTTGGTCTATGGAGAACATGAAAAGACTGTTTTGCCATTTTTATTTATTTTGTATTTTTGTTCTTAATGGTGTTTGTGTTGTTGATTAGAAGATATCATGGGGATAGAGATTTATGAAAATGTCCCTAAGAGAGAGAGAGACTAATTCTTTCCTTTTTATTTTTTAATTAATAAATTATTAAAAGAATTATAAAAAGTACAAAAAAGAAATAAAAATGACAAAACAGTCTTTTCAATCTTTTCAAGCTTTTAAAGAGAGAGAGAGGTGGGCCCAATTCTTTCATTTTTATTTTTTAATTAATAAATTATTAAAGGAAATATAAAAAATACAAAAAGAATTAAAAAAGGGCAAAACAGTTTTTTAAAATTTTTTAAGGATCAAAACCAAAGGAAAATCTTAATTTTGGATCATTCATACAAGTTGGAAACTTTTTGTATACTATCTAAATTTTTTTGAATACCAGGCCAATTTTATAGTTTTGTCTTCTACTTTAGTTCTCAAGTAATTTAAGAGTGATGAGTCGCCACTTTTACCATGTATTATCTTTTTACACAAAAGAATATTTTATATAAAAATTAATATAAAATTAAAATTTCCATTAAAATACCAGAAACAAATATATTTGAAATTGATAAAATTGCAAATTTGGTCCCTGTGGTATGTTAAAAAATGAGACTTTTGTCCAAAATGTTTTGGATTTGCACTACAGGTCCAAAATGTTTCATTTGTTGTGACTTTGGTCCAATTTGTTTTGAACATATTTAAAATGACAATTATGCCCTTATATTTTTCTTTTAACCTTTTTTTTCAATTCTATATTTGAAAGAAAATAAAAAATAAAAACCTCACCCACCACCTCCTTAACACATTTTGTTTCTCTATCTCTATCTACTCTCCACACCACCACAACAACCGACCGGAAAAACCTGAAAACAATTGCCAACACCACCTTCTGGAAAATTATAAATCAACCCCCACCACTTACCGAAAATCAAAATGCGGCCATGAACACTATCTTAGCGTCACCTTCTCCAGAGCTTCGTCTCCCCACGAACACCATCTAACGCCGACACAAACAGATATCTCCGGCAACGAACAAATATCTCCGGCGAAGAACATATCTACACTTAAAAGGGCAGCGGACATATCTGAACCGAGAACTCCAACCTAGGGTTCGTAAACCCTGAACCGATGAAAGTGAGAGCGGGATCCGACGGTTGGGCTAGTTACAGATCTAGTGAAAGTGTGAGGCAACGATGACGTTGGTTGGTTGCAAATCCAAGGACGTTGCAAACCTACATCGGGTGGAATTGGTTTAGAACTACGGAAGTGACAAAGGTGGTTTAGATTTTCTAGATCTACGGAGGCGGCGAAGGTGGTTTCTGACAGTGATGGTTTCTGGTGAATATATATATATATATATATATATATATATATATATATATAGAGAGAGAGAGAGAGAGTGTGTGTGTGTGTAGGAAGAGAGATGTGGGTGGGGTTTATATTTTGTATTTTTAGTTTTATTTTAATTATATAAATAGTAAAGGAAATAAAAAGTAAAGTAAAAAACAAATAGAAATGGCAAAAATGTCATTTCAAACACATTCAAATCTGAAATGGACAAAAACGCAACAAAAAACTTATTTTGGACCAATAGTGCAACTCCAAAATATTTTGGATCAAAGTCTCAATTTTTTAACATACCATAGGAACCAAATTTGCAATTTTACCTTTGAAATTAAAAGACAACAAAGTTAATGTTAAAAAAACATTGTAGCTATAAATTAAAATATTTTAAACATTAGAACAAACTTTAAATTAAAATAAAACACAACACAAGTACATTGGAAATGTTGACATCATTTGTCGCACCGTCTCACAACTTGTCAAAACTCAACAAATCGAAAATATTTGTTAGTTTCTTCATGTAAATCCTCAAGAGCATTGACAAACAACATATTTTCATTTTCACCATTAATTGCTTCACGCCTCACCTTAAGAAAGACAATGTAAAATTGCACTGCAACTGCGTTTGTATTTCTCTATTTGGAGAATAATTGATCTTTACTTCAAGGTCGATCGGCTTCGCGATTGTATCTTTTGCAGTGGCGGAGTCAGGATCAAAGTAAAGGGGTATCCCAAATTTATTTTTAGGGTAACCCAAAATTTTTTCCGGGGTACTTGGGCTTCCCAGGTTCAATTTCGGTTTTCTAAACCCAAACCTTAATCGAATCCTTAGCTAACCTCAAGTCTTGTTATATAAACATGAAGTTGAAGTATATTTTGATACTTGAATCGATGTGGGATTCAAAGTAGATATCAAATAAAATATGAGGATAACAAGCTTATATAATAGACAAAAATGGTTGAGTTTACATATGTTTGGCGATGTGGGATAGAATAGCTGGGAAAATAAAACAAAAATAAACAAAGAATATGTAAGGAGCAAGAATTGAACCTGAGAGCTTTACTTCAATAAGGCAGCGTCTTAACCAGTAGCTCTACTATTTGTTTGTGTTTATAATTGAAGGGATACATATATATACATTATACCGAAAAAAATTTGAAGAATTCGTAAACAAAAATTACACTACCAAAAAAAATTTGAGGGGTATCCCGGGCTACCCCGGGATCCCCTTGGATCCGCCTATGATCTTTCGTCGTATCTCCTCTAGAAATTAGCCGTATCAACGCTAATGTTGATTGGGTCTTCAGTTACATCGACCTATGAACGAGCCAATATGATTTCTTCATCCGTTGTCCAAACACAAGCCATTTTTTAGAGATGAATTTTGAAGAAGATGAAAAATAAAAGGTTAGGAGACTTAAATTAAGAAGGTTTGAATGTGGTGAAAAATAAAAGAAGATGTTAGTATTTATAGTAGTTAAAGTAAGGTTTAAATTTGAAATTTTGAAAAAAAAAACATTTATTTTTTGAAAAATAGGATTCTTCTTTTAAAAAAATGGAGTATATTTTGAAATTATAATGTTTGTTTAAATGGTAAAAAAAGGAAAAAAGCTCTCTCTCTCTCTCTCTCTCTCTCTCTCTCTCTCTCTCTCTTCGATATACCATCATTGAGTTTGGCCACCAAACTCCCCATGCCTAGTAGGTCACGCGGTGTTTATCGAAGCCAGCTCAGACATGTCGAGTCTTACCTTATCTCACTCCGTCCTGCCTTATAAAAATGTAAGTGTATATATATATATATATATATATATATATATATATATATATATATATATATATATATATATATATATATATATATATATATATATATATATAGAGAGAGAGAGAGAGAGAGAGAGAGAGAGAGATAGGTTCAGGTGTTCAAAGTAATTATTGTGTGATTGTATGCATAAATGTGGGCCAATCAAAATTAAATAATTAAATAAATAAGGGTAATTTAGTAATTTGATTAATAACTTCCAAAACTAATCCCTATAATCATGGTATTGACTTTTAACCTAATTTCTCCAGGTTTATATCTATAGTCGTTCCCCTCTTTATCTAAAAACCAAATCTTGGCCGATCTGCAAAATTGGAATAGACTACAAAATCGATCTTGAGTTCAACAAAAATGATTGCCATCGTCGTCTCCGATCGCCATCAACAATTACTCATCGACGTCATCTGCCTGCCATGTCTACTCCGTCGCTCGTCGCTCCCTTTCGACGTCCACACCTCCGACCGATCCCATCCGGTGAAATTGAAGTTTATTCGAGTTTTACCGGTTGCCATCGTAACCCAAATCCTAACAATCTAGGGTTCATCAAGGTTTGTCGATTTTTGCTGGGCTTGATACATACGAACACAGGCTTTTGAGGTAATATTTTTCTTCTTAATAATAAAATAGGTAATTAATCCTATCTATTAGATTTAGTGTTGATTTATTCCCTGTATCTTGCAATTTAAACTTTTTTGTTATTGACATTTTTTTTACTTTCATTAGATCTAGAAGCTTTTATTGTAATCTATATGCCAATTCTAAACTGTTTATGGAGTTTTTGGCTTGTGGCTATTGGAGGATATCATCTATTTTGAGATTTAAAGTTTAAAATTCAACCATATTTTTAAAACTAAGATATATTATTAAATCGCATGTTATATCTATTTGACTTTCATAGTAAGTTTTCTTTTTATTTGTATTAACTTGATTGTTTTTTATATAAAACAATGATGACAAAAACTTGTTTCCTGGAGCATATATGTTGTGTGGAGATTTGATGAGTTTTTTTATTTTAATATTCATTATATGATGGTTTTCAATTTCATGGATGGTTGGTCATCTGTAAGAGACGTCCAAGTTGTCACAAATTTTACTCCTCCTTTCTGTGTATGATTCATATATTTGTCCATCAACTTATGAAACTAGTTTCTAGTTATCCCTTAGTGGTTTGTGTATTTTATACAATTCCAATTCTATCGGAATGGAATCAGGAATTCAAATTCTATCGGAATGGAAACACGAATTCTAATTCTGTTGGAATGGAATATGTATATTTTCTCATTGATTATACATGTTCTACAATTTTTGGTTATTGGTTTTGGTGCAGTTAACAAGTCCTCATATTTTTCCATAGGAATATAGTTTTTTATTTATCATTTGCTAATGCGTTATTGGATTCTAAACTACAATTAGATTTTTTTCACAGAAGTTGATGCTTGAAGATGTTGATGCTTGAAGAACGGACAACAAAATTGAAAGTGTTTCTTAGAAACATTATTCTTTTAGAATAAATTAGTGTATTTGTTAGATTTTGATGTTTTTTTTTCCGATTTGAAAGTTTTTTAGTTTTATTCTTTAACAATAAATGTAATTCTTAGGAATTGTTACATGTATTCTATAAGAATTAATGTAATTTTTGTTTTAATTCTTTAATTGATGGTTCGAGAATTTTGTTATTCTACAAGAAATTTTTAAAGACATGATCAAGAAATATGTTCAAGAATATTTTTATTATTTTATGGTTCAAGAATATTTTTATTTTTGAACATACTCAAACATATTCTGTCAGAATGTCCGAATTAAAAACCTTATAACTCGTAAAATCGGATTTTTAAAATTAATAGAATCCGTGATCCCTTAAAATATGCAAATTTCCTTTATTAAATCTATATTAATTGACTAAAATACCCTTCTAGTTAAATTAGATGGTATTTTTCAATTATATTTAATTCAATAATATGATTAATCATTTTCTTAAAATAAGTAAAATGATTGGCCCACAATGATTCATACATTCACACAATAATTAGTTAGAATATAATAACCTAAGCCTATATATATATATATATATATATATATATATATATATATATATATATATATATATATATATATATATATATATATATATATAGAGAGAGAGAGAGAGAGAGAGAGAGAGACAGTTCAATTGAGAAAAAAAAGGTTGAGAATGGGGGAATCATTCTCAGCCACTCATTTATTTTTGCCGCAAAAGCCTCCGTCGTAGTAGCGGAAATGGAAAGGAATAGACATGTGTTTTCCAACAAAACATGTTTCCTTAAACTATGCTAATCATGACCTTAATATATACAAAAGCATAGTTTTTTCGTTTTTTTTTTAATTTTTAAGAAGCTATTTTTATCGAAAAATGATTTTAAATATACCAAAATTCATGATTTTTTATTCTCTACAAATAGACATTCATATTGATATAGTTTTAAGATAAAATAAATTTTTTTTCTATTTTCAACTACCGTTATTCATAAGTGAATAAAAATGCATCAGGTTTTTATTACAATACATTCGTTATTCACTTATGAATAAAAAATATGATTAAATTTTTTTACAATTTAAGTATCATTCATATATGAATACAGTATATAATAAACATAGTATATTCATATTTAAATATTAGATGATGCATTCACTTGTGAATATTAACATAGTATATTCACTTGTGAATATTAGATGATATATTCACTTATGAATATTAAATGATATTTTCATATGTGAATATTACATAACATTACATGGTATATCATATGTGAATATTACATAGTATATTCACTTGTGAATATTAGATGATATATTCACTTATGAATATTACACAGTATATTCACATATGAATATTACAAGGTATTTTCACAAATATATATAATTTTTATATGTTATTCACATACGAATAATATACAGACTTGCATATTTGTTTTGTGTTTTTAATAATCATATACAGATTCAGGTGAGAAAACATATTTATATGTGAATATAACGTGGTAATTTAGTTTATGCATTTCATCAAACAGTTGCAGTGCATACAAGTTAATTATTTTAAAAATGTTAAAAACATGATATTTCCGATTCAAGTTATCAATTCCAAATCATCATATACTTCCGATTTCGACTTCAGATGCGACATCCTATGTCTGATCGATTTCTCATTTTGATTTTGATTTCCGAAAATCCAATTGGGAATCTGTGAGTACCGATTCCGAGTCCTTCAATGTCGACTGTGACTGCGAGTCCAGAACTCCGATTCCAATTTCATGAACAACGAAGAAATTCCGATTCCAACTGAGTTCGTTTGCGAATCTGGGAAATTCCAATTCCAAATCCGTTATGAACTTTATTAAATGCTTGCAAGCTACGAACATTCGGAGTATTCAACAAAGAAATCGATGAAATTGATGAATTTGGGTTGCAAATCTGTCTTGAACGGCGAACCTCCTAGCCACAAAGATCGATGATTGATTAACACTGGATGACATTGATGATGGTTTAATTGAAGAAATCTGGATGATTGTTGAAGGTTGGAGGAGAAATTTTGATGATGAACAAACTGTTATCTAATTCTCTACAGTTACGTATTTGAGATTGAAGGTTATTATCATATTTACAAGTTTGCCACAGTGTCTTTTTATGCTTAGACTAAATGAGTGGCTGAGAATGATTCCCCCATTCTCAACTTTTTTTATTTTCTCAATTGAACTTACCTCTCTCTCTCTCTCTCTATATATATATATATATATATATATATATATATATATATATATATATATATATATATATATATATATATATAGAAAGAGAGAGAGAGAGAGAGAGAGAGACACTATATGTATATGTATATATATATATATATATATATATATATATCTATATATATATATATAGAAAGAGAGAGAGAGAGAGAGAGATAGGTTCAGGTGTTTAATGTATCTATTGTGTTATTGTATGCATAATTGTGGGCCAATCAAAATTAAATAAATAATTAAATAATTAAATAAATAAATAAGGGTAATTTAGTAATTTGTTTAGTAACTTCCAAAAATAATCCCTATAATCATGGTATTGATTTATAACCTAAATAAATAAATAAATAAAGGTTTTATCTTTGCTTTCAACAAGTGGATCCACTTAAAGGATTAGGGCTTTTAAACCCGTGTTCTTTTTGATCGGGCAAAGATGGACGACGACAAACAACGAGCGCAGGTAACGAAGACCCAAGAAATCTGGTGCATGAATCGTTTGGGGGTGCCGTCGATTGGTGGAAGGCCGAAGACAGGAAACGGGAATCGCAGTGAGGCTGCTGTGGCTTCTGTGGGTGTAGCGAGGTCTTGTCGCCGTAAAAAAACCCTCTCATCACAACCACCGTCATTCCGCCATCTCCACCTTGCCGGACAACGAAGTCGAAAATGAAATCGACATCCTGTCAAAAATCTACAGCCCTCGTCTCGTTAATTTAGTCGAATTCACAAACACCCCACATCAAAATCGGTTGCTGGTAGTGGAATTCATGTCCAATAGAACACTCTACGACACCCTCCATATCAGTCAACAGCCGCCGAATTGGGGGCGGAGAACGCTGCCGCCACTCTCTTTAGCCTCTCGGTGGTGGACGAAAACAAGGTTCGACGATTGGAGCTGGGTTTACATTCTTGTGGGTACAGTTGCTAGAGAACATTCTGGCCCTGCTTTGGCCTTTTCTTTCCTTATTGCTAGTATAGCAACTGCTGTCTCTGCCTTTTGTTATGCTGAGCTTGCAAGTCGCTGCCCTTCAGCTAGAAGTGCCTATCATTATTCCTACATCTGTGTTGGAGAAGAGTAGGTTCTTCATCTTCAAATTCTTAATATGCTATGATATTGTAAAATTCTTGAATGCTGATATTACCATTTTCTAATTTTCAGTCTTGCTTGGATAATGGGATGGGCTTTGATTTTGGAATATACAATTGGAGGATCTGCCTCCAATTCAGTTCCAAATCAACAACCAAAAAGAACTCAAATCTGATGTTTGGTAATTGATATGAATTTTTTGATGTTGTTGTGATTCAAGTTTTGATGTTGCTGTGATTTAAGTTTTGATAATTGATACAATTGATAGTTTGTTTGATTGGTTGATAATGATACACCATCGATGGTATTAATTATTTTCCCATGTCTTGGCTTCAAACTTCCATCTAAGCATGAATAATTTTAGGGGTTTTAAACTTGGTTTGAATCCGAATTGGATTGAAAGATTTGTTTAGTGGGCAGTAGGCAAGTTGGCTTTCAATTAGAACTGATAAGAAAGGGTTTCAATTAATATATTAGACTTAGACTTTTAATTTTGAGTTGTTTGACTATATTTCATTTTTAGTTATGTTTGAATTAGAATTGTACAAGTCTAGAACGATTAGTAAAAACATAGATGGTTTGATGCTTCTTTCATTTGGAATTAATTTGTTTATGTAGATGATTCAATGGATGCTATTTGTGAGATTCCAATTCTATTGGAATGGAATCACGAATTCCAATTATGTTGGAATGGAATCATGAATTCTAATTCTGTTGGAATGGAGTATGAATATTTTCTCACTGATTTATGCATGTTCTACAATTCTTGTTTATTGGTTTTGGTGCAATTCACAAGTCCACATCTTTTTCCAAATGAATTTAGTTTTTTATTTTTCATTTGCTAATGCATTATTGGAATCTAAACTACAATTTTTTTTGTTTTCACAGAAGTTGATGCTTGAAGAACGAACCACAAAATTGAAAGTGATTCTAAGCAACATTATTCTTTTAGAATGTATAAGTGTCGTTGTTAGATTTTGATGTTTTCTTTCCCGTTTTGAAAGTTTTTTTAGTTTTATTCTTTAACAATAAATGTAACTCCTAACAATTGTTACCCGTATTCTATAAGAAATAATGTATTTTTTTTTATTCGTCAATTGATTGTTCAAGAATTTGTTATTCTACAAGAAGTTTTTAAAGTCATAATCAACAAATAGGTTCAAGAATATTTTTATTATTTATGGTTCAAGAATATTTTTATTTTTGAATATACTCATAAACATATTCTGTCAGAATGTCCGAATTAAAAGAATTATAATTCATAAAATCGGATTTTTAAAATTAATAGAATCTATGATCCCTAAAATAATGCAATTTTCCTTTATTAAATCTACATTAATTGACTAAATTACCCTTGTAATTAATTAAGATGATTTTTTCAATTATAATGAATTCAATAATATATATTAATCACTTTCTTAAAATAAGTAAATTTGATTCGCTCATATTTATGCATACAATAACACAATAATTACTTTAAACAAAATAACCTAAGCCTATATATATATATATATATATATATATATATATATATATATATATATATATATATATGCACTTTGTTATTGATGATAAATTATGTATCATGTAACATATAAAATATATCTTATGTTTAATTTATAACAGATGTATTTGTACTTCTTTCTTTACAATATATATATATATATATATATATATATATATATATATATATATATATATATATATATATATATATATATATTAAAATCATAATTAATAATTCACGGTAAGAGCAATATGATCTAATGTTTTATGTGTTTTATAAATTGCGTACTACAAATAACTACTATTGAGATACTATATTTTCCCATCACCCATTCATCTCTCAAAAGGTATAAAAAATAATAATAAAAAAACACATATCCTCCAACTTTTAGTTTGTATTCATTACATCAAACCAAAATGTCAAAATTAAGAAAAAAAAATGAATTTCACATGTTATTAATAAAAATACGGATAAAAATAAAATATAAAAATATGTTTCTTCAAATAAAAGAAGAAGCCCAACTTAACGGTTAACGCTTAACACACCTAAACATAGAAACTTTAAGCCTAAGATAACTTTTGAGCCCAAAGTCATGACTAATATATAAAAGGGTAAATGTATTGGAGCCAAACTATGTATACATTTTGGTTTAGATGGTCTTTTTTGTTTTGTTTTTGTTTTTCTTTTTGCGTTTTGTTTTTGTTTTTCTTTTTGCAAAGGGGTACGAATTGTTATTTTACCAGCTAAATTGGTCCTATAACATCTTTTAAAAGGTTTCGAATACAACTCACAATCCACGTCAGTAAATGAGTTAACTTTGAGTCAACTTGGCGTACATGTCATTGAGTTGGGTCCGTTTTTTTGCTTGGGCCTTAAGGGTCACTGTGGAGCCTGTGTTCTTAAAAGGAATGACGTATTCACTCAAACCCTTAATATTTATTCCTATTTTCGGCTAAAACAATATCGACAAGCAGGAGACAAGTATCGCTTTCAACGAGAATCACGAGATGACTACCCCACCACAATCACCAAATTCCATTTCATTAAATTCTCGCGACATGCTAAACTTCGGTGACTTGCACTCTATATTTTGCGATTGTGGGTCAAAGATAGTTGAACAACAAATCGAAGTCGATCGAATCAAGGAAGAAATAGGTTGCGATTTGGTGATTACCAAGGTGATTCACTCACTATGCAACACCGTTCAGAGCATACCGAGAAAAAGGTGCAAGCTTTGACTTTTTTGGTGGTCGGACTGGTGGTGGTGACGTTTGGTTTCCTGGTGGATGTTTAGGTAGTGTTTATGATCTTTAGGTATCGATGTGTTTGTGATGTTTAGGTAGTGATGTGTTTGTCTTAGGGTTAATGTGATGTGTTGTTGTTCAGTGTTATCGTCTTAATGTTGTAATGGTGGAGGTTGAAGACCTGTTTAAGCATATGCAATTTTGTATAAACTAACTATGTGTAAACTAATTATGTGTAATCGTGTTCATTGTAATGGAAACGAGGATGAAAGGATCAATGAAATCGGGCCATGTTTTATATTATGGCATGTAAATGTTATGATTAATACTATTTTAAAATTAAAAATAAGTTTTTTTAAGACACTAATCCTACTTCATTACCGTTAGTTAGTGCCAAAGTTGGGGGTAATTTCGTCCTTTCACCTTTTAGCCTCGAGTATATACACATGAGACTACTATGTGGCTTCCTTTTTACCTTTTTTTATTGATCTATTGTCCTTGTTTCTTTGCAAGTAACATTACGAAGATGAAGGGATCGATGAAATCGGTGGAATGTCCATGTGGATTTAATGCTACAATACGAACCTCAACTACTTAGTCCAACCCTGGACGACCCTTTTATGCTTGCCCCAAAAGGTAATAATCGATTGCATTTTCCTCTAACTGTAGCCCTAGATTTAGAAAGGGTTTTTTCCTTCTCGTATCTTACTCGCAAATCTTTCATGTCAGGGTCCCCATGATGGGTTTATATGTTGGGCAGACCAAGTGGAGACTACGATCACAAGTGGTGAGGCACAGTTTATTGCAAGTTTGGTTAGGTCAAATAAGAAGCTTTATTATGATTTTAGGAAGCTGAAAATTTGTTTATTTCTTAGTTGTGTTGTTTTCTTTATGTAATAGTTTACAAGTTGTAAGGGATTGGTAATGGTATTTTCTTGTTATGTTTAATAAGTAAATTATGTGGTTGTAATCATTTTTCACTTTAATGAAAATGTCATTTTCTTGTGATGTTTAATAAGTATATTTTTTGGACCCACATAAACATATAATAATATAGATCATACACTAATTACACTACTAATGGGAGCACATAAACATACAATAATAGAGAAAATTCATCATAAAACCATGTATGTCCATTACATTACATATAATCATAGGTTCAAACATGCAAATAACAACACACATATTAGTATGACAACCAACTCTAGTATATAACATGCATCAAACACCCAAACTTAAATCTAACATCATACAACCATTAGTACATAGTGATAGAAAATGACATTTTTTCCCTATTCAACATTGTGACATCCCCAAATTTATGATCATTTTAAAACTTTTTATTTATGCTTATTTATTACAAAGCTTATTCACTAATGTGAAATTTGGTCCCTTAAAAGTATGTCCGAAGAAATGTTTCCATTGATTTATTAAGGCGGGAGATTCCATAAATGATACAAGAAACATAAGCATAAACGAAGACTTACTATGTCTCAATATACTAACGATCTACATCTCCTTGAATCTCTCAGCAAATAATTATCTATCAGTACCTTCGTATCGATACCTATGATTCAAATATACTGAGTGGGTCGAGTTGGGAAACCTAGTGAGTATATATGGTTTTCAACCCACAATAATATAATTTAATTATCAAACAATTAACCTAATTTCCCATCCCCATTATATTTTGTATTCGTATGGATCTACCCTAAGGATCTTTTATGCTGACAGTACTAGTTAATGGATTCATCTGTAATAATTTTCAGTAGGTTGTTCTCTATCTCCGTTCCTAAGGGTTTGTCCTAAGGAATAGACATGAAGTCCATCGTTGTTAGTTTTATCTAATAGGCACTAAGTCCATAGCTGCCATTCTTTCTCTAATAGGCACTAAATCCATTGCTGCCAGTGTTTGTCTAATAGGCACTAAGTCTATAGCTACCAATGTTTGTCTAATAGGCACTAAATCCATAGCTTCCTGTGTTTGTCTAATAGGCACTAAGTCCACAGCTGCTAGTGTTTGTCTAATAGGCACTAAGCCCATAGCTGCTAGTGTTTGTCTAATAGGCACTAAATCCCAAACTGTCAATGTTTAGTTCAGTAGCACCAACAGGTCGTAGACCCGCACGCATATAATTTTTCATTGCCTACAGGTTGTACACCTGCCTGCAGAACGATTTATTAACACCTATAGGCTATAAGCCTTCCAGTGTATGATTAAATGACACTTGCAAGTAGTAAACCTGCACGTGTATAACTTATAAACATCTACAGGTTATGTACCCCCCGATGTTTGACCTGACTTGACTTAGAATCTCTGTGGTCATTATCAATACCCTACTAGGTAACTAAATTACTATTCCGATAGTACTATAAAAGTCTCGACCTCTTTTCATTATTTTCATTTCTCTTTACCCTTCA